CAATCGCTGGGAGTGGTGAGTTCTAGTCCTGCCTTAGGCAAGAAAGCTATCTGTGTGACTCTGGGCCAATCACAAGGAGACAGTGAGTTCTAGTAATGTCTTAAGCATGAAAGCTGGCTGGGTGACTTTGGGCCAATCACCGGGAGAGAGTGAGATCTAGGCATTGAAGTCAGATACCAAGGTCATGTGAATTATTAATGCTAATCTATAATGCCTTGGTAAGACCACATTTGGAATACTGCATCCAGTTCTGCTTGCCACGATATAAAAAAGATGTTGAGATTCTAGAAAAGAGTGCAGAGAAGAGCAACGAAAGGGATGTTTTAGGAGGCTAAAACATACGAAGAACGTTTGCAGGAATTGGGTATGTCTAGTCTAATGAAAAGAAGGACTGGAGATGACATGATAGCAGTGGTTCCAATATTTGAGGGGCTGCCACAAAGAAGAGGCAGTCAAGCTATTCTCCAAAACACCTGAGGGCAGGACAAGAAGCAACGGATGGAAACGAATCAAGGAGAGAAGCAACCAAGAAGTAAGGAGAAATTTCCCAATAGTTAGAACAACAATCAAACTTGCCTCCAGGAGTTGTGGATGCTCCAACAACTGGGGGTTGGACTGGATGACCTCCAAGGTCCCTTCCAATTCTTGATATTGTTATTCTGGTTCATGAGGTTAAGACTGACCTTGCTCCCTGAACCGTTCATCATACGATTTAGCTTCCAGTCCAGACCCTTCATCATCTTTGCTGCTATTCTCTGCACGCTTTTCTCAGCATTTTTTCCTGTATCACAGCGACCAGAACTGGATGCAATATTCCAGTATCCCAGCGAGGTATACAACGATCTCTCGTTCACAATTCACGGACATCTTCATATTGTTCCATCAGGTGCTCAATGACCCAAGGCAAGGAAGTTATGGAGCAACACTGTGCCACTTGCGATGTATCCGATGCGCTTTCGGTTACTACCAATGAAGAAACAGCCAGTTCTTCATCATCAAATCTCTATTAAAGACGGACCAGCAGCTTTTTTAAAAAAAAGTTCATTAAATAAGAAATCATATTGTTGGATAACTTTAATTCGACTCTTTTGGATTTCTGAAAGCCCTTAGATCGAAGGCTTTTGCAGACATTTCGCAAAATATCCCAAAATCCACTTCCTATGTAGTTTTGGTTCGACCGGGAGCTATATAGATCCTATTTTCTATCGTCGTCTTTCTAAATCTGTCAAATATTACACCCACACACTTGCAGGAACACTATATTTATTAAGTCAATAGTTCATTTTAGCAATACAATTACAGAATATCACAATGTTGGTTACAAACATACTCTGGATTGGTGGATGTGTACAAAGAATAAAATTCAAGCACAGCGGTCTGGCGTGATATCGGATACAAAAGAGGAACGTGGGATGGCCACGGATGATCAAAAACGCCTTCATATAAGTAACAGTGGCACAGAAAAGATGAAAGGATTCGGATTTAAGAGACACTGGGTGGTGTGACTCAGCTTTCGGCTGGTTTGCTGCCAGCAACGTTGCTGATAAGACAGTTTCTGCTTAATATATGTACATATTTTAATCCCCTTGTTAAGATCCATGGAGTATTAAAAAATAAACAAGTACTGAAACTGGTAATATTAAATAAAAAATAAAAGCTCATCCATTCCCCACCCACCCCACCCCAAGAAATAATGCTTTAAAGTTTTCCCTCTGTTTTAAAATCTTATTTTCATGGCAACATAGCTCATATCAAGGAATATGCATACAAAGGAAGCTGTGGGATGGTTTACACACATGGTACCTGTGAGGGTTAGCGATCCAACACTGAAAAACCTGGATGTCAAAACACCAAGTTTCTAGATATCTCTATATATTTATATAGCATATATAATTTTTTCCATCTTATTTTTTTAATGTCTTCAAACCAAAGAAATCTGCACTTAAAAACAACGCACTAAGGCCGCTTCATGCTATTTAAGATACCTACAAATTGCCGTGATAGTACAGTATTTGCTAACGAGAATCCGGAAAGGGTGGAGTTTCATGGAAAAGGGAGGTGGGCTTCGCTGCCTTAAAAAACATTCCTGAGTTTGGGGAGGGGGAGACCAAAATGCACAGATCCCCTTGACTGTCCAAAAGGAAGCCTACTGCAAAAGCCCATTTTCGCCACGTGACCAGCGCCTTCACCCCGTTTCTCTACAACGCAACAGGACAAAGGAGCCATGGTTTATTATTCCTCCCCAAGGCCAAGAGGCAAACCCTGCCACAGGATCAAACTTGTGTCACAACCCAAAACCAACAAAAATTTTTTTAAAAAAAAGAAAAAAAAGAAACAACCGTTAACAAGCACAACAGACATTTCTACTCAGGTTTGAATGTTGAAGCTAAGAAACACGACCAAAATTTATGGTATCTCGGTTCCCCTCCTCCATGCCCAGTAATGGGGCAGCTTTGACCACAAGAGAACGAAACAAAATTCTTCAGCATCTAACTGGGTGCTGTTGTTGGTTTTTTTAAAAAAACTGGGAGTGACGGGAACGGTGGTCCAATCCACGTGGAAGGCACCAAATTTAGAGTGGCTTCAGCGTCCGACGAAAAGGCACGAAGGCTGTGCACGCTTTTTTAAAAAACAACCACACACAATTCAGAGGAATTGCTGCAGACAAGGTGAAGGTAGCACCCCTCTCTGCAGTTAATCCAAGCAGCTTTTATATTATGATTTATTTATTTTTTCGGGCGGGGGGGGGGAAATAAAAGAGCTTTTAAGAAAGATACCACTTTTTGAGTTTGGTGATCGGAAGGGATCGAACGATTCCTTCAAGCGGTTGGCTCTATTTTCAGGGGCTCTTCTTAAGCGGCCCAGATGAAATCCCGACGCCTTCCACTGGGAAAGCAGAGGTCTTGGGGTTACCCGAGGTCTGCAGCAATTCTCCTGAACCTACTTTGAAGTCTACGGTCGCTCTAGGAGGCACGTGAAAGAAGTTACCAACTGCTAAGTGCCGTCGTTTCCCCCACCACAAATTCACCCCGTGGTACAAGATCGATTTCTGACCTGCACGGAGAGTGAAACGTCGTCATTGCTGGTACTAAAAAGGCATGGTCCAAAGGAGAGGGAGCTCACCGCTCTTCCAACACCTGCTCCTCTTTCTACAGCCAGTAATTTTATCTGTCCTAAAAAAACCCAGTTGGGATGGGACTAGGGGAGAAGGATGTAGATGTGATGACAGTTACAAAGACACGCCATCACGCGGAGTTTAGACACGCTGCCAAGAAAATAGCAATGGTGCTTTCAGGATGCATTTCAATCAATCTGGTCAATTACAGAAGACAACTTTGGGGCAATTTTTTACAAGCCCTCTTGGGTTTTGGTGAGAGACTCCAAACGGTCTGAAGGAGTCGTCCACTTTGGCTAGATTGTGTCCTTTTGTGTACAGAAGCGGACAAGTTCAAACTATATTTGTCCTGGGTTCAAGGGTTCCCTACCATGTACAAGCCACGAAGCGATTTGCATCCTTGGGAACAGGAGAGAATTTTTAAAACCGTCACCTCAAACCGCAACCAACTCGGTTCCAGCTCCATCAATGCACCTGGGGGTGTGTGTGTGGATGGGGTGGATCCTAAACCACCTCTTGTGTGAACTCTGCCCTGTAGATATCCACCAAAAGTAAACACAACATTCTAGGCTCACAAATCGTTTTCCACAGAAATCAACAGCTTAAATCCAGAAACGGCTTAATCCAGGGATTGCAACTGAGGTGATTGTTCCTATCCCGGTTGCCTGGCTAAAGCATCCCTCCACCAACTCCTCAAAATTCACAAAGGAATTGTGTTGTGTACAAAACAAGTGTATAGTTAGGATAGCCGTCTTTGCTTAACTAAGATACTATGAAGAAAGTAGACTGGACAAGCTGGATTCTCCCATTCTCTTGTTTCATCACCTCCAGCCAAACTTCAACAGAAGGCCAAAATGAAAGAGAAAATTAAACAAATGAATCGCCTCTGAACAAGTCCCTATACCTGAAAGGTTCTTTCAAGAGCCATTTAATTCTTTAAAGCAGCTGCGAGCAGCTCTGCGGGAAAAATTCTGCAATAATTATAATTTTATGGAAGGAAAAAGACCTATAATAATAGCAACATGTCATATCTGTGTCAGATTTTAAGCCTCTGCTCTGCTAGTTTCCCTAACGCCCATGCTCACCATTCACAATCCTGATCAAACGGGCAAAGAACTGGAAGTCCAAAATGAGTTTTCACAACGCCAAAAACCCCAAGCAAAGGAAGGAGTAAATATTTCCTATTTCACTTCCTGGGGGACAGAACACTTTGCTCGCACGGGTAAATCCTCATATATTTATTACAATTTTGACAAAACCCTAATCAAAGCGCTTCACACAACCGTGCAAAACTATTTCGCAACACAAGCTCTCGAGAGTAAGGAGAACGGTGAAAAAAAAAGGAATGACCACAAACCCAACTTCCCAAGGGTGTAACAACAACTGGAGTTTCTTCCGTGTGCAACAGTTTAATTGGCCTAGACTTGAATACCCCTGTACCCTCTCGGACTTTCATTAACAGCAACACACCTGAAGTTTGGTGTAGTTCAGCACAACCACATAGAAAAGTTTGCCCTTCGCTCTCTTTTCCAGTGGGTCCCATGGCATTGCTGGCAGTGTTCAAAAGTGACTCTGAAATAAGACCTACCCTCTGACTTCACAAGAATTCTCCTTTTTCTGCTCCCAGTAGCTCTCCAAACTCAGGGAGTCTCCAAACTTGGCAAAAGACATGTGGACTTCAACTCCCAGAACTCCCCAGCTAGCCATGAGATATTCTGGGCGTTGAAGTCCACAAGTGTTAAGGTTGTCCCGTTTGGAGATTCCCCTGATCTAAATAACAGCTTATTGTGATTTCTGGGTAGGTGAAGGCAAAGGGATCGGGGAAAAAGAAGATATGTTGTTAAATTAACTACTGGGATGGGGGAACAGATTAGATAAATAATTCCTTGCAAATACTGTACACCAAACTTCACAACTGGCTCATTGTGGTGCCACTATCCATGATTCACTGAGGAACGGAATTTGGATCTTCTACTTTAGTGATAAAAAACATATTCTCATGTTCCAAAATCCACCCACGATGTAAAACAAATGATATGGATTAGAAAAATAAACATTTATATCATTGGCAACATCTATACTTGAACTGGCATGGGAAGGATAACCCCAACTCAAAAAACACCAACCAAAGAAATTACTCAAAGCTCACCATTATTTCCAGTCCTGTCTTTCCAACAGCCAAAGATTTAAAACTCATGAGTTTTCTCAGGTTTCTCTTTCTGATTTGGAGTTCAAACTATCCATCGATCCAGTCCGCCCCCCCCCCTTCCCCCCGCAAGTTTTAATTGCACTTAGGAAAAGAGAAAGCAACTGCAGCCAATTTTCCACATGCTTTATAGTACGCCATCATCCTCACCTCCAGTGACCAGCAATAATGGGCGGGGAGGAGGATGGGACTTGTGATCCAAAAGATCTTGACAAAGGCTGAGTTGGAAAAGACTGGTCTAAGACTCAGGGAGGCACCCTGGAATTATTAACTTGCTGGTCACCACGAGAAAGCAAGGTTTTCAAGAAAACAGCAGAAGAACTGGGAGCAGTCTAATCTCGAGGAATTCGGGAAGGCTAGGAAAAAATCAAGAATCTTTTTGCATGGCTTTACTCGGCTGTGAGAATTTAGCGTGTCATGATTTCCAAAATCAACGGACTTAAGAGCCAGCATCTGGGAGCTCAGTTCAGACAACATGCCACCAACACGGGTCTGGCTAATTCTGCAATGAAAAATTTGGGAGGATGGGGCTGCAACTGATGAACCAACCCTGTAAGGGGGGGGGGGGGGACTTTCTCTAAAGATGGAGACAATATTTCCCGTGTTTTCACTGCAAATGGGGGCAGGGCAGGGGTGGTGGTGCGTTCCAGGCACATTTCTTTTGGGTACTGTCCTCCTCCCTTCTTCCTGTTAGCCGGAATGGTTAGGACGATGCAACCTGCCAGCACGAAAAAATTGATTGGGATTTATTTAATTTCCCCTCAACTCAATGCAAGTGAGAATATAAGCGACATGATTTAGGAAACAGGCAGCCTCTGCACGAGAGGAGATGGGGAAGGAGAGAGAGAAGCAATGGTTTTAAAACTTATGATGGGGTGAAGTGAAATGTTTACACTGCCACTCTGATAGAGAATCCTGCTTAAAGACAAAAGTTAGCAATGAGTTTGAAAAGGCCAGGGGAAGTCCTAAGATCCAGAAACCAAACAAAGAAGCAACAACTCTCCAGACAAACTAGCCAACCGCTTAAAATAGTGAACCTCTTAGAAACACACCTTATTATAAGACTGGGGGGAAAAACAGTCTTAAAATATTAAGAGCACCCATACAGCTGTCTGCAAACAGGACTGAAGATCTGCAAATTCTTACTAGAGACACCAGCCCAGGTGGAGGTGTGTTTTTCATATGTCCTTGCTACCCCAAATCTTCTGGTCAGAGTCCCAAGGAAAGCAGAATTTCTGATTGCTAATGTTCACTTCCCAACCACCTTTTCAAGGGACTGATCCCAAACTCAAGACGCCATGCCCCCAAATCAAATGCCAACCTCCGTGGAACCAACTGTCTATTCTCTTTCAAAGTACAGAGTGTTTTTGCCCTGGTCTGTCCCCGCATAAAATTTGCTTACAAATTTTTCACCAAAGAATTACAAGATACCCCACCTCTGGGTAAGGGAGGGAGGGAGGGAGGGAGGGAGGAAGGAAGGAAGGAGGGAGGGAGGGAGGGAGGGAAAGAAATTCTTGAAAGGCACTAGTTCAAAACAAAAAGGACTGTCCTGCAATATTCTACTTTAAAAGCCAATGGTATTGCTATATCCAGGATAAAGAGGAATATACAAAGCCACTCATTGCTATTCTTTGTGGAGTCCATGACTTTAAGAACAGACATGCAGATCTTTCATTCCCCTCCCCCCAAAATTAAAATGGTAAATAAAATTCATTCCAAATCCTAGAGGTGCTTTCTGCTAGCCAAAGCTCTTTCCCTGGCAGCTTATAAAACCCCTGAAAATAGGGGTGGCTACCCATCAATACTTTGATATACAGAGACAATGTCAGTGTCCCCATATTTAAAACTGAGGTAAGAGCAAGTTTTTTGTTTCTCCTCTCCAAACTGGGCACAGACTCCCCAGGTCTTTCAAAATTTCAATTATTACCTCAACATTTAAAAGACAGTTCATCTAAAAAGAAAAGGCAACCCCACCCTCAAATTAAGACAAGCTAATGAGATAGGCATTAACGCTTAAAAAAACAGAAAAGGAAACGACAAGCATTTAAAAATGAAGTTAAGGAAATCACATTGTGGTTGTTTGTTCAGTGTTAACAAAAACAAGGAGGCTTAAAAACAGAAAGGGAAGCAAGAGAGACCGTGACTGCCTTGCTGTGCTTTTTTCTTCTTCTTTGGATATTATTTCAGTGACCTCTGCAAAGTATAAAAGGAATGGTCATCTCCAAAGATATAAAATAAAATAAAACCAGATGCTTTTAGAAGAAAAACAACTCAAGTTAGCCCAAGCAAGCTACAGTCTTTAGAGACAGCCTAGTTTGAAAAGGCAGAAGGGGAAGGATGGAGAAGCGTTTTAAAAAGGCTTGTTTATGCAAAGTAACATTTAGTGTGTATCCATAATAGTTTAAAAGGCATTATCATTGCAACGGCTGAAAACGGTGGAAGCTACTAATATATTCTCTGTTCTGTCTTGCCATGTCTCGGATATTGTTGAAAATGCACCTTTCATTAAATTAATCCAGCAGGTCAAAGGGAACACGGGAGAGCGTGAGAAACAGTACACACAAGGCACTGTTTCACAACTTCTTTTTCCGAAGGGCAGGCTGGTCCACTTTAAATTATTCTGGTCCTGTCACACACAGAAAAAGTAAAAACCGAATAAACCAAATAAACACCTTGCCTATATTACAAGAAGAAAGCAAGTTGAGGCCCAAGGGGTTTGTTTTGGAGACTTCTCACCACGATGGCGAGAGAACCCATTGGTCCAGTTTACACACCTCTTCTCCAAGGCCCAAAGAGCTGTTCACAAACACGTGTTCCTTCTCCAAAGAAATTTCTGTTGCTTTAAGTTGAGAAGGAGAAAACTTCCCAGATTCTTTCTGTACATGTGCAGGTTTTTGCTTCTGAATGATTTTTTTAAAAAAAAATCAAACCTACTGTGGAGATCTGGGTGCAGAGGACAAAAAAGGGGCTAGGAGCAAGCTTGATCAGGCAGGGAAATTCTTACGCCATCTATTTCTGGCACTGTGGGTCAACGGCAGGTTGCCACTGCTGCGTGAGCCCAGGAAAACACATTCCCCCAACAGAAGCTAGGTATCTGTCTGGACACAAGTCCTGATCGTACTTTTCTCCTTTGCATCCAGATTCTGCAGGCCCTAATACTGAACAAAACTCTTTTGTTTACTGCAGAAAGAAAATAATCCTGCCACCCTCTTTTCTCAATTAAGAATGCAACTCTTTAAAAACTGTTAAATGGTTTTATTTCTCTCTAGTCTTTGCAGCGATTTCTTGTAAAGTGGCTTTTTTTTTTTTAGAACAAAAAAAAAAATTAGAGAAGATTATTAGAGATCTTTTTTCCCCCCCACGCGTACACGCTTGTGTGTACGTGTTTGTGAACCACATAGATTACACACGCACCTTGAACCCAAACAAAATATGCTGTGCTCACGCTCGTGCATTCAGCACATGTCCGGCTCACGGTCACTCCATCAAAAGTTGACGTCATCCCCCAAATGGGGATTTTTATGGACTGGACCAGTGTTTCAATGCAATTTTTTTTTAAACAGCTCCGGGAAAGGAGGGGGAAAAGAAAAAAAAATATATAGATATATATATATGGTTTCGAATTTCACAGTATGACTTTTCCCGTGTAAATCTGGGGGAAAACGAAGAATGAAACAAGAATTGGTAAAATCGACCAAGTTCCTTAGCAAATGGGTCCTTCGACGGTCTGAGACATCAGGAAAGACTGGACAACCTGTTCAGTTGATTGAGGACTGGTGCTTACATCCTCCAGGGCATCTGTGACTGAAAACTGCCGATCCCTCAATCGGTTCCAGTTGGCTAAGATGTTGTGGTATTCAAATACTTTCTCGTAATTGCCAATGGAGTTGTACAGTTTAATGAGGCCCCTGTAGTCATATTCTAGTCCGCTGTAACCTTCCCCAAAAAGCTTTTTTCCTAAAACAACAAAATCGGAAAGCCAAGAACAATATTAAAGGCTGCCATATTAAAATGTGATTTCTGGATTTTAAAATTATAGAATATTTTTGGGGGGGGAGTATGAATAAATGGTTCTACAAACGGAGCTCTTCAGATCCTTCCAAAGAAATCTGGACTTATAAACAGAATCCATTTTGGGGGGGAGGAGGGAGGGGACAGATATCTTGGAAGAACTCCAAAGTTTCTTTTTCTGGGAAGATGTCATCATCTCCAACAACTACAAAAAAGCTTAACTCTTTCTTCAAAGGGAATTTACATTAATTAATTACCTTAATTACATCCAATGATTATCCTGTTAATAATGTAGGTCTAAATTATAAATCTGGGATCTTACTTTAAAGGCTTGAAAACACAATGACCAAGGAGAAGCTAAGTCAGGGGTGTCAAAATGGATGTCTTCAGGGGCCAGATCAGCGTTGTAGTTCTCCTGTGCGGGCCGGCCAGGGGCGGAGGTAAGAGGGAAGATGGGCTGGACAGCCTCCTGCAGCACTTGGCTGACCAAAATGGGGCATTGGGGGGCTTTGCTACTTCCAGGCTGGCCTCGCGGGTCAGATTTAAGCACTTCTGAGTTTGACACCCCTGAGCTAAGTGGCCAGGAGGATCTCCCTATAGACTTGCTTGAACTGGATATAAAAATCAATGTATCTATGTATGTATGTATCTAATCTATCTATCTTTACCACTCATCCTCCCACACCTACCTGTTTTCCATCCACCTGTCTATTTGTCTATCTAACAATTTTCTATAAATAAGGCTCAAGGGGACCACAGCGCCCCTTCCCACGAACAGTTAAAGAATTGACCCACCAATTGCGATGGATCTCAAATAAAGCTTCTCAGCGTTTTCGTACTGATTCATGTCGTAGTTGTAGAGCGAGGCCAGGTGTCCCACTGAAAGAGCGACTTCGTAATCTTCTTGACCCAGCAGCTGCTCCTTGATCTGAATTGCTTTGATGTGCATCTCTTCTGCTTCCTGCAATCACAGCCAAAATGGTGGCTTAGGAATCTCACTATGGCTACTTTTTTTTTTTTTATCATCCAACCCAAGAAAGTGTTTCTGCCTGCTTGAGAATACAAGCTAAGGTTCTTAAAAATCTAAAACAAAAAGGCAAATTTAAGACTTTTCGGATAAGAGGGCACATGGAGAATTGACTGACCAAAGAATTTTGAGATGGAGTGGGATAATTTGGAAGAAGTGGTTGAGTGGCTGAATTTGAACCTACTATTCTCCGGAATGCTGGAAAAAAGTTCTTGTTTAAATTAAAAGTTCTTGTCTAAATCTTGATTGGAAGCAACAGTAGCGGTCATAAAAATATCTAATATACCTACTTCCTTCTCTCCACCTCCATAATGCCGTTTCAGTAATACACCTGCCTTACTTCTACATATGGATAGTCCTCAACTTACAACCATTCGTTTAGTGACCGTTCGAGGTCATAATGGCACTGAAAAAAAGTGACATGACTGTTTTTCACTTACAATTGCATGTCTCATTTAGCAACAGAAATTTTGGGCTCAATTGTTGTCGTAAGTCAAGGACTATCTGGAATAGAGTGGACTTATTCTAGCATCATATTAACAAGTCTCACTTATTTTGGAGCCATAAAAACGTATGTAATAAAAAAAAATAGGAAGGCTCAAAATAAAGTAAAAGTTATTTATTTTCATGCTGCTTAATTAAAAAAGGCAACAAATACAGAAAACTTGAGCATCAAACCAATGATCTTCTTTATAACCTGTCGTTGTCGCGCGAAGAGTAAAGTTTAGTAATTTTGGCGGTACAAAATTAATTAGCAATTATTATTACAAGGTAATACATTTCAAAGAAAATACAAGCAGTTCTCAACTTACGACTTAGCCACTATTCAAAGTTATGACGGACTCTCCAAAAACGGCTTGTGACCTGGTTTTGAAGTTAACACATCGCTTCCCGCTCTGCCGCACCCCTTCCCCCAAGCATATTACTGTATTTCGGGCTTTTGGCAACCAGCCCCGCATGTATGGCTGTTTTGCAGCATCCCGGGTGACTGCATTTTACGATGTTTTTGCCCCAAACCAGTCATAAGTCGAAGACTACTTGTATTGTGCTGTGACGAAATGCCCTTTTTAGTGACATTCCTGCCCGCTGCCCTGAGAAAGCTGGGTTTACCTTAAATTTCCTCATTGACTGATACAGTCGGCCAAGGTTGCCGTAGTGTTTTGCTGTCTGAACATTGAACTCCCCAAAGGCTTTCTTGGCGAGCTGGAGAGAGGAGAGGTGCAGGTCATGAGCTTCTTGGAGCAGCCTCTGCTCCGTTTCCTTATTGTGGCAGTCGATTGCGATCTCCTCCAAGATAAGCGCTTTAAAAGGGGAGGGGGGGGGATAAAAAAAAGGATCAGCAAAAAGCAGACTGATATACTGCCTCACAGCGCTTTCTAAGCAGTTTACGGAGTCAGCCTCTTGCCCCCCCCAACAAACTGGCTCCTCATTTTACCAACTTTGGAAGGACATAAGGCTGAGTCAACCTTGAGCCGCTCAAAACCAAACTGCTGGCAGTGGGCAGAGTTTGCCTGTATTAGCAATAGCACAAAACTTACATATCGCTTCACAGCAGTTTACGGAGTCAGCCTCTTGCCCCCCAACAAACTGGCTCCTCATTTTACCAATTTTGGAAGGACGGAAGGCTGAGTCAACCTTGAGCCGCTCAGAATCGAACTGCTGGCGGTCAGCAGAATTAGCCTGCAATGCTGTGCCACCACCGATTAATAAAAGAGATTAAAAGGTATCCGGCTAGTGAAGATGATCATGGTCTCAAAGTTATCTTCTGGAATCAAGACAAAGATTTTCAGCTGTTTTATCTTGCCAGCCAACAAGACAAGGAACCTCAGGTTAAGCAGCTGTTCAAGTAGATTTGCCTCTGCTGTGACTTTTCCAATCTTCTGTCTAACTGCATCGATTTAGACTTGCAATTAGTCTCCCAAGCCCTTCCCACACCAATGATAAGGAATGCCCCTACAGGTCCCCCTTGACCCACGACCACACCTGGGACCAGAATTTCCGTTGGTAAGCAAGGCAGTCATTAAGTGAATCGCACCCAATTTTAAACCTTTATTGCCCTGGTTGTTAAGTGAATTGTTGCATTGTTAAGTGAATCATGCAGTTGTTAAGCCAATCCAGCTCCTCCCTCATTGACTTTGCCGGCTGGAAGTCGGCTGTGATGGTCACAAATGGAGATTACAGGACCCCGGGATGCTGCAACCGTTGTAAATACCTGTTGGTTGCCAAGTGTCCGAATTTTTATCATGTGACCACAGGGATGCAAGTGTGAGGATCGGTTGAAAGTCACTCTATTCAGTGGCACTGTATTATGGTTTCTAAGCCAACAGTTGTATACGGAGGACTACCTTACAGAGAACACATTTCTATTTCAAGCTGCATTTCATCCAACCATTTCCAATCTGGTGGGCATTAGAACTTCAGGCTAGGAATTCCGGGAGCTGTAGAACCAAGACATCGGAGAGGCATCGGATTCAAGGAATCTCTTTGCCAGGGAAGTGTGGAAGAGATGCAACCTTAATAAATGGATGGAACCCAAGTAAATAGTCTCAAAATGATGTGGAATCCTCCCGACTGCTTCCTGATTGCAGATAGTTAGAAAGTCCTCTAGCTAACCACAATAAGATCCCCTCTATTTTGTGCAGACAACTGTAATATTACAAGTCCTCGACGTACGACCACAATGGAGCCCTAAATTTCTGTTGCAAAGCGAGTTGTTCAATGAGTTTTGTCTCAAGTGTCACGGCCTTTCTTCTGGCACGAGGTCTTATTTTCGGGGTGGTGGTGGGCATCTTCCACTGACTCACCTTGCAGCAGCAGCAGCAGCACCGACAGCCCCGCCCAGCAGGAGCCTGCTGCCAGCCCATTTCTTTTATGGCCGCTTGCCGCCGCTTGTGGGAGTCGCCCCCGTCCTCTGTTTCTCCGTCAGAGGCCTTCAGAAAAGGCCTCTGCAGCCAAGAAAGGAGGTCCAGATTGACATATGTGATGCCCCGGCCTCCATTTTGCCATCAGAGACTCTTCCGGAAAGCCCTCTGCAGCCGATAACAAAGCTCCGACGGCGAAACGAGGCCGGGGACGGCAGACCATGCTTTCTTCCCATGGCAGCTGAACCCAGGCTGGCAGATAATACCTTTAACTCTTTTGGAGGAGGCGAGGAGGAGATGATCTTCTGGGAGAATGTGGGTGATGATGCCAATTGCACGTTCTGCATGGAATCTAAAAGATCATAAAGAAGCAAAGAGGAAAACTTGAGCTCCCGGTCCTTATTGTGGGACTTTGTTAGCCCATCTGTGTGATTTGGTGAAAAGCCACAACTTCCCCACTTGAAACAAGGAATGTGTCCTGAGGGCGGAAAACAGCAATGTGTCCTGCCCTCTCTTATTCCTTTCAGTCACTTGGCCGGTGTTTCTCAACCTAAAGCTGGCTGGGGAATTCTGGGAGTTGAAGTCCACCCATTTTAAAGCGGCCACGGTTGAGAAACTACGCCACTTATGGAATCATCTGTAATGGGGCCCAGAAGCAAACTAGCAACCAACTCAGCACATGAAGCAGAAGTTTGTATATGGACATCCTGAGGGATGCCCGTCATCGCCTGCCTTCTGGACCAGTTGAAGCTTCCAGATGGTCTTCAAGGGCTGCCCCATGTAGAGACATTGCAGTAGTCATGCTGCAATGTGACTAGGGCATGAGTAATTATCTGAAGGACTCCTTGATTTGAGAAAGGGTGCAACCTGTATACCAGACAGAGTTGTGTAAATGCCTCCTAGCTACTACTGACATTTATTTATTACTGTCGCTTTATCTCACTGATAAAGCGACTCTGGGCAACTCACAGTATAATAAAAAGTTTTTTTTTAAGTTAAAAAAAAACAAAAACAATACAAAGCAATTAACATTGGAAGAATTAAATAGAAAAGCTAAAAGCCAAGCTGAAGGGAGGGGCCACAGCCAAAAGGGCTCTTCTCCTGGACCCTGCCAGCTGAAATTCTTGGGTTGATGGGGTCCAAAGTAGGCCCTTTCTGCTGGAACAAGCGGGGCAGGCTAGTCCCACTGGGGTAAGGTCGTTCTTGGATACCCTGGGCCCATGCCATAAAGGATCTTTAAGATTCACAGACCTCCAGATGGTGTACAGGTAATCCTGGACATTCGGTCACAATTGAGCCCCAAATTTCGGTTGCTGAGAGAGACGTTGAATGAAATTGGCCCCATTTTGTGTCCTTTCTTGTCACAGATGTTAAATTAATCACCGCAGTGACACAGTTAAGTGACTGTGGCTTCCCCGTGGACTGAGCTTGTCAGAAGAAAAGTCACGAAATGGAGCAAAACTCACTGAACCAATTTTTCACATAGCAACACAAATTCTGGGCTCAACTGTGGTTGAGGACTATCTGTGCTTATTTTAAAATATGAATGGCCTGATTCTGTTTTACAGAGAGTCCTCAACTTAGGACCACCATTGGGACAAGAATTTCCACTGCTAGATAAGGTGAGTCATTCCTGGTTTTTGCGAATTTTTTGCCATGGTTGTTAAGCAAATCGGTGCCGTGGTTAAGTGGATCAGACTTCTTCCTTTGGCTTTGCTTGCCAGGAGCTGTCTGGGATGGTCACAAAAGGCGATGATGTGACCCAGGAATGCTGCAACAGTTGTAAATACAGGTAGTCCTCAACTTACCACAATTGAACCCAAAATTTATCTTGTTAAGTGAAACATTTGTTAAGTTAATTTTGCCCCATGTTACAGCCTTTCTTGCCTCAATTGTTTAAGTGAATCGTCGCATTTGTTAAGTTAGTAAAATGGTTGTTAAGTGAATCTGGTTTCCTCACTGACTTTGCTTGTCAGAAGGTCGCAAAAGGGGATCCTGTGATACGGCAACTGTCATAAATATGAATCAGTTGCCAAGCATCCGAATTTTGATCACATGATTATGGGGATGCTGGGAAGGTTATAACTGTGAAAAACTGTCATGTCGCTTTTTTTCAATGCTGTCGTAACTTTGAATGGTTGCTAAAAGAACAGTTGTAAGTTGAGGACTATGTCTCTACAGCAGAATATTTCAAAAACTAAAAAAAAAACCCACAAATGGCTACCAAGTATTTTTTAACTTCTTATTTACAAAGGAGAAAGAGAGAAATCATCTGTCGTTCTGGCAAAAGGGTGAGATGAATTCTGAAATTTACCATCTCAGCCAAACGTACTTTTCTAACATCAGAAAGGACTTTGAAATAAAGAACAAAATCATTTGGGCCCTAAATGAATACAGTACTCACAGTGCATTATCAAATTTTCCCGAACTGTATTGGTGAACGTAAGAAGAGTATGCCAGATCTTCATGAGCTGTAGCTACATGGATGTTTTTGCCGCCAAACACCGACTGTCTGATGTCCAAGGCTGTCTGAAATGATTTGTGCAAAAATAATAATAACAATAATAATCTAGGCCTTAGTAACTCAATTTGCAGTCAAAACTATTTTTTTTACATATCTAACATCAGATTAGCTGCAAACAGAATCTTCCTGCCCATTACCTTAGGGTTGGTTACATTCTTGTACAGCATGTTTTAACATAGTAGGGACTTGCCCGAGAGGTGCTTTTACAAAAGGTAACTGTTGAAGAAGCTTCTTGGATGAAAAGCGAAGCGTCTTCAAAGAAAAACAAACAAGTCCAGTCGCTTCTTGAAAAAAAAGCACCGTTGGGACAAAACTAGGACCTGGATGACAGAGAATCTCCATAGATATAGTAGGGACTTCCTAAATGCCATCGCCTTAACTAAGCACGTAAGACTGAAAAAAAAAAGGAAAATTGTTTCAAGTTTTGGATAAGACAGCCTTACTTGGGACATTCCAATGGAACTGGCTAGGTTCAAGTATTCCCTCAGAAGGAACAGTGGAAAGAAAGGTGAAGCTATAATAATCCCCTTACTCTTTTCTTTTTCATCCTTTGGTCAGAAAGGCAGGTAGACTAATACTACCTACTATATGATTTATTTTAAAATGTGGGGTGCTTGGTGCTCTCTGAGATTGGTGGGTTTTTTTGCAGATGGTTCATGACCTAATTGATGCTAGTGGGGATTCCTCTCACTTTATATACAGTGCTGGCCCTGTCAGTGTCGGTGAGGTTGTTGTGGGGGGCTCTTGACTAGTCTCTCATTTACTGCCCCTTGTTTCTCTGAACTAGTAGTTCCTTGATTGATGTATTATTTACTTCTAATCTAGGGTTTCATCTAAGATGATACAAGCTACCTTTAAAGGCAAATTAACTGAGGGCAGATTTTTTTTTGGCTATACTGCAAAGAGGGCTGCATAAAGCACAAGAGCATTATATATAGTCCTCGACTTACAACCATTTGGTTAGTGACTATTCAAAGTTACAACACTGCTGAAAAAAATAATTTAGGGTTGTTTTTTTGCACTTCTGACGGTTGTAGCATCCCCATGGATCACGTGATCAGAATTCGGATGCTTAGCAACTGCCATGTATTTATGACAGTTGCGCTGTCCGGGCATCAAGTGATCACCATTTGCAAACATCCCAGCCGGCTTCCAACCAGCGAAGTAATGGCAGAAGCCAGATTTGCTTAATGAGTGCCCGATTCACTTAACAACTGCAGGGATTAGTTTAACAACTGTCCCCAAAAAGCTGATAACATGGGACAAAACTCACTTAACAACTGCCTTGCTTAGTAACAGAAATTTTCAGCTCTATTGTGGTTGTATGTTGAGGACTACCTATATATAGTTTTCACCCTATTTCATATATTTTTTTTCTTTACTCTTTTCCGTCTTGCATCGTATTGCCAGCTTCTACTTGAGATAAAGTTCAAAATTAGGCCTGAAGAAACTAAATGATTTTCTGTTTTGACTTTAATTTGGCACGCCTCTTCTCTGACCTTGTGGAGAAGAAAGCATTGCACATAATCTCTGATTATGTGAGCCTCTGTGGCACAGTGGTTAAGAGTGCAGTACTGCAAGCTACTTCTGCTGCAGACAGCTGCCTACAATTTGGCAGTTCAAATCCCACCAGGCTCAAGGTCGACTCAGCCTTCCATCCTTCCGAGATGGGTAAAATGAGGATCCAAATTGTTGAGGGCAATATACTGACTCTCAGAGAGGGCTGTAAAGCACCATAAAGCGGTATTAAGCACCATAAAGTGCTTATTGCTATAACATACTGCCTTGCGATAAATTATGAAACCAAAACCGTACCTGATAAATTGCAACTGACTGGCATATGTTATCTACGTTGAGTAAATAAAATCCATAGTCAAGTAGAGTGTCTGAATATTTAGGATGTTTGGCTCCAAAATGCTCCCTGAAAGATTAAAAAAAATAAAAAATAAAAAACACATCACAAAATCTTCCCAAAAGGATGGAGCGTGTTGTAGCATTTCAAGAGCCCTCTTACGTACCGTGCTAGGTATACTGCGTGTTTTATCAACTGCTCGGCTTTCTTGAATTCACGTTTCACAACACATGCCTAAAACAGATGGAAGAAATTAAGGCTGCATGTATATTCAAAGGACCATCCTGTCTTCTTGCTGTCACACCCCACACCTCGAAGGAGGACCCAAAACACAACCTGCAATCTCAACTGCAGAGTGTGTAAGCAGAGGGCCAATGTTTAGGTGCAGGTAGTCCTCAAGTTACAACGGTTCATTTAGTGACCGCTCAAAGTGACAGTGGCACTGAAAAAAAAATGACTTATGGTCGTTTTTCACACTTAGAGGAGCATCCCCACGGTCAAGGTGATTAGAATTCACAGGCTTGGCAACTGACTCATATTTATGACGGCTGCAGGGTCCCTGGTCATTTGATCACCTTGTGACCTTCTGACAAGCACAGTCAATGGGAAAACAGATTCACCTAACAGCTATGTTACTAACTTAACAGCTGCAGTGATTCACTTAACAACTATGGCAAGAAATGTCATAAAATGGGGCAAAATTCATTTAACTGTCTCGTTTAGCAAACATAAATATTTCCGCTCAATTGTAGTCGTTAAGTTGAGGACTACCTGTATTTTTCCCTCTGCCTTTATGAGTTTTATGAGTTTTGCGAATATTTATTTTTCTCTCAAGAAAAATAAGGCGCTACCCTCAAGAAAAATGGTCTGATTTCCTGTCGCCCTCAGCAGCACATAAATAACTGTTCAACTTACCTTTGAGGCTTGTCGTAAAACATCCACAACTACTTTTACAGGCAAACCAATCGAGATCTCCTTCATTGCTTCTATACACCATTTGTAAGCCTATGGGGACATACATCCAAAGTGGAAAAATCATTGGTTACTAAGAGTCCGTAGAGATTCCCAGTCATCCAAGTCATGGTTTCCTAAAGGTACTTTTTCGGGAGGCAACTGGACTTTCGTGTTTTCTTCTTTCTCATCCAAGAAAATTCTTCAGCTCTGGCTGGATGGTGGGAACAGCCTGCCTGAGGCCAAGGAGTATTGGCTAAGGTGTAGACATACAGCCAGCAAGTATCTATTCCCAACTGGTTCCTACCAACCAGGCCGTATTACAGTCAAAAAAACCCTGGTGTTCTTGCAGATCTTAACCCTTAAACCTGGGAAGGCGGCTAACTTTACCCAAGTGCTGTTGGCATCACACGAGAACCTTGCTGCAAAATCATGTTTCTATCTGCTGTGCACTGTTGCTCAGTTAATTCAAAGCCGAGTCTCGCTTGGAGAGAAAGCACCTGCCCGTTTTTCAGACTCACCTCATCGTAATGACTCTTTGCAAAGAGCAGAGCACACAGCTCTCCGTAGAGGGCAGCCTTGTTGGCTTGCTGGCCGTGCTGGGCGAGTTTTTCCATGTAAGATTGTGCTAATTTGAAGGTTTCTTCTCCCAAGTGATATTTACAGTTGCCGTTCCGGACATGTAGTAACCTAGGAAAGAGGCACAGGAAACTATGTTATAGCCCACAAGTTGCTGAATGCTTCTCACACAAGACTACAGATAGTCCTCCACTTACAACAGTTCATTTGGTGACCATTCAAAGTTACAATGGCACTGAAAAATGTGATTTATGACCATTTTTCACACTTACAACCTTTACGGCATCCCTACGGTCATGTGATCAAAATTCAGATGCTTGGCAACTGGTTCATGTTTATGACTGTTGCAGTGTCCCAAGTTCATGTGATCACCTTTTGTGACCTCCTGACAAGCAAAGTCAATGGGGAATCAAGATTTACTTAACCACCAGCTATTAATTTCACAAATGCAATTATTCGCTAACAACTGTGGCAAGAAAAGCCGTAAAATGGAGCAAATCTCACTTAACAAATTTTTCACTTAGCAACATAAATGTTGGGCTCAGTTATGGTTGTAAGTTGAGGACTACCTGCACAGAGAGTCCTCAGCTTAAAGCAATTGAGCCCAATATTTCTCTTGCTAAGTGAGACAGTCAAGTTTTGCCCCATTTTACAACCGTTCTTGCCACCGTTAAGCAAATGAATGCCATTGTTAAGTTACTAACAGTTATTAAGTGAATCTGGCTTCCCCACTCATTTTGCTTGCCAGAAGGTCGCAAATGGGGAATCACATGACCCCAGGACACTGCAACCGTCATCCATAGGAACCGATCGCCAAATATCTGAACTTAGATTGTGGAGATGCTGCAATGGCCATTAAGTGTGAAAAGCAGCCATAAGTTACTCTTTTCAGGGTATGTTGGCCACTAAGCAAATGGTTGTATAACTGAGGACTGCCTGTACTAAAATGGCATGATTATTAAGGAATCCGGAAGATTTCTCATCCTTGCCTTAAAATAGTAAGCAATAAAAATATGGCAGTTAATCCACAACCAGACAACTTTCACCTGCCCCCCCACCCCCCAATAGCTCAGTTCTAATATACCAACACTCAAGCATGACTTACCAGCCTAAAGACATTTATTGCCTATCCACATTTTTGTATGCAGCAACGCAAAACATACGGAATAGGGCGAACTAGCGCAGTTTATTCTATCTGAAGTGGAAAACCCATGGTTTAATGGTTAATTAGGAATCAAGACAGTGTATTAATTATTGTTTGTAATCAGAAAGTCTAATATACTTTCCAGGTTCCAATGAAATTACAGCACCACTAAGGAAGGTAAGATATTATGGTCAGAGATTATGAAAAGAATTTTCATCCTGCACCTAATAAGTGTTTTTACATGTTTTAATGCTCCAGATATGGGAGTTCCCATGATCTTGCAACTAGCAGGTTTTATTGTACTGAAGTATTTATGTCCAAACCACGCCAACATACCTCTAAATAAGAACTGGTATTTTAATATTATAAAGGCACGCTTTGGAGAAACTTTCTGGAGGAGTGCAGGTGGTTTCTTGAATTGTTCTGCTATAAGCCCCCTCAAGAATTGTTTGAAATTGGGTGGCCTCTGAATTGTATTAAACAAAGAACATAAAGCTTAACTCTCAAATCCTTTCTTTTTCTCATGAAGGGAAAATAATGTATTTTAGACAAATCACCTTAATACGGAGAGCATTTATAAAAGTAATTATTGATATCTCGAGCAACTTGATAGAAACAAGAGTTATGACTTTACAAATCACCCTATGTCGTATTCTGATGACTTCCATGAAACCATAGTGAGTCCTTGACTTCAGTGAGTGTGGTCACTTAGCAACCATTCAAAGTTTGGATTCACACCCCCCCCCCCCCCAAAAAAAATCCTTATTACCTAGTATCAAATGCCCTCCCCGCCGTGGTCACATGACTTCATTTTGGGTGCTCAATAATGAGCCTACATTTATGGCCATTCATGGTGCTCCACAGTCACATTGATCAAAATATATAATGTTTTTGTTGGAAATCAGACTACTTCTGGTTCCTGGAAAAAAAACTGCCCCAGAGCTGATAATGGGTTCACTTAACAACTGTTGATTTTGATTAATGATCACCGTGAAAAAGATATTAAAATTGAGTCTGGCCATATGGTGCCCTGTTTTACGACCATCCCAGTTTATAGTCGTGACTGCCACGTTCAATCCCGGTCATAAGTCAAAAACTACCTGTGCAAATAGTCCTCCATGTATGACCACGATTGACGCCAAAATTTATGTTGCTAAGTGAGAAGTTTGTTCAGCGAGTTTTGCCCCATTTTAGAACTTCCCTTACCACATTTGTTAAGTGAATCACTGCTGTTAAGTTAGTCACACAGCTGTTAGGTGAATCCGGCTTCCCCACGGATTCTGCTTGTCAGAAGGTTGCAAAAGGGGATCACATGACCCCAGGACACTGCAACCGTCATAAATAGGAGTCACTTGCCAAGCATCCAAGTGTAAATCACATGAACATGGGGATGCAATGATCATAAGTGTGAAAAACGGTCATGTCACTTTTTTGCAGAGCTGTTGTAACATTTGAACAGTCATTAAATAAACAGCTGTAAGTTGAGGAGTGGCAGTAATGCTTTTCCCTCCAGGCTTCTCTGAGCACTCTTCAGTTTAAATAACTCTTTCTTGTAGGCACAAAATCATAGAGGCAGATAATTCTGGACATTCTCTGTACAGTGGAGCCTCGGGTCGCGACCGTAATCCGTTCCCAGACTCCAGTTGCAACCTGATTTGGTCGTGTCCGGAAGCACAAATGACTATGCATGTGCACAGTCAAAATAAATGGCGCTGAAGGGGAAATCGGCACGGAAAGGGAATCTTTTTGTTCGCCACCCGATTTTTGAATCATGACCCAGTGGATTTTTTTGGTCGCCATCCGATTTGGTCGCGAACAGGAGCGTTCGTGACCTGATGTTCCACTGTATTTTGACTTCCCCCCCCCCCTTTGTAACTTTAATAGAGATTTGAACAGCCCCCACTCTACTATATTTCAAAGGATCCCGAAGATGTGGTTCTTCACCAAGGCTTTCGGCAATGTTTACTGAACTCCCTTCTTTTTCCTTGTCCAGTATTCCCTGCCGTTTCTGTTCTTTAGTTGTGTGTGTGTGTGTGTGTGTGTGTGTGTGTGTGTGTATTTTCTAATACAGGTAGCCCTTGAGTTACAGCCACATTTGAGCCCAAAATGTATGTTCTTACGACCTTTCGTGCCACAGCTGTTAAGTGAATCACTGAAGTTGATAAGTTAGTAACGCGGTTGTTAAGTGAATCTGGCTTTCCACTGACTTTACTTGTCAGAAGGTCATAACGGGGAACATGTGACCCTGGGATACTGCAATGGTCGTAAGTATAAACCAGTTGCCATGTATCTGAGTTTTGATCACATGATCATGAGGATATCTCAAAGGTCGTAAGAGTGAAAAACACTCATAAGCCACTTTTTTTAGTGTCGTAATTCTGAACAGTCTCTAAATGAACTGTTGTAAGTCGAGGACTACCTGTATTGTTCCTTGTGTTTAAATGTTTTTTTTAACAATCTGCAAACTGCCCAGAGTAAGTGGGAGTAGGATGGCACATAAATGCCATACACATTAATAATGATAATGATAATGATAATGATACTGATAATAATAATAATAATAATAATAATAATAATAATAATAATAATCAAGCTTTTCCTATCATTAAACTTTCCCACCTACATTTTTTTTCCTAGACAAAATTTCCATTTAAACCATGGTAAAAACACCATTGAGACAAAGCAGGCACTGGCTCTAAGGAGTTAAATGAACTCCCAAAGGCAGGTGAGCCAGTTTGTCAGTTCAGCCTTAATAGGTAATTGGTATTAACATACTAAACGATACTGATTAATGAAGGAAGAACAGTGTTTCCTCTTTCAAGTTACTCATAAAAAAACACACAAAGAACAGGATCTTCCTCCTTTAATCCATCTGTTGTGCAAACAGGGAAACATAAAAGTAGCACTGACTGAAATACAAGTAGTCATTGATTTATGACCACAATTGAGCCAAACATTTCTGTTGCTAAGTGAGACATTTATTAAGGGAGTTTTGCCCCATTTTACAACTTTCGCCATAGTGATTAAGTGATAGTGATTCACTGCAGTTGTTAAGTTGGTTGTTAAGTGAATCTGGCTTCCCCATAGACTTTTCTTATTAGAAGGTCACAAAAGGTGATCCCAAGGCCCCGGACACTGTGACTGTCATAAATATGAGTCGGTTGCTAGCATCTGAATTTTAATCATGTGACAATGGGGATGCTGCAAGTCCTAAGTGTGAAAAATGGACATAAGTCACTTTTTTCAGTGCCATTTTAACTCTGAATGGTCAATAAATGAACTATTGTAAGTTGAGATCAGCAACCAGAATAACAGAGTTGGAAGGGACCTTGGAAGTCTTCCAGTTGTCCAACCTGCTGCTCAGGCAGGAACTCTCTACCATTTCCACAGGTGCTTTTTCACAAGCCAACTGGATTTTTTGTATACTATTTCACTGAAATGATATACATAAAACATTCAGTGTTGGGAGCATTCACAACTTCTGGAGGCAAGTTGTTCCACTGGTTGATTGTACTAATTATCAGGAAATTTCTCCTTAGTTCTGGTTGCTTCTCTCTGTGATTAATTTCCATCCATGGCTTCTTGTCCTGCTTTCAGGTGCTTTGGAGAATAGCTTGACTGCCTCTTCCTTGTGGCAGCCCCACAGATATTGGAACACAGCTATCATGTCCCCCCTAGTCCTTCTTTTCATTAGACATACCCAATTTCAACTTTGTTGCTCTTCTCTGCATTCTTTCTAGAGTCTCAACCTCTTTTTTAAATTGTGGCGACCAAAACTGGACGCAGTATTTCAAGTGTGGTCTTACCAAGGCATTATAAAGTGGTATTACATACAACCAATTCTTAAAGGAAAAAAATTAGAAGTGTTTATACTCTTCAGACAACCCAGCAGGCTTTCTCTTTAATGGAGGTGTGTCTACAGGGCAAAATAAAGAAATCATAACCACAGCAATGACCTTTGTCATTAGCATAGTGCCTATTACTAATATTTCCTCCTCCAATTTTAAAATCACGTTTATCGTCTTCCAAATCAGCCCCACTTAATGCATAATCAGCATGTAGGCTGAATAAAGACAACATACAGCCTTGTCTCACGCCTTTGCCAACCTGAAACCAATGGGTTCATCATGTTCTGTCTGTACTGCAGCTTCCTGATCTGCATGTAAGTTTCGCCTGAGGAGATGTTCTGTGATTGCCATTTTTCTAACCCACAGCTTGACATGATCAACACAACCCACAACTCATTTCTTCGTTTTTTTGAAGCACATGCTGCCTTCTTTTTGATATTTTTCAACTTTCCCAATTATCCAGCCTACATCAGCAGTATCGGCTCATGTTCCTTGAATTTTTTCTAAAACCAGTTTGAACATCTGGCAGAGGTCTCCAAATTTGACAACTTTAAGACTTGTGGACTTCAGCTCCCAGAATTCCACAAGTCTTAAAGTTGCCAAGTTTGGGGACCCCTGATCTGGCTCCTGGGGACTCCTGTCCAGGTAGGGCCCTGACCTGCATTGGCTGATCCTAAACATTATTTTGCCAGCATGTGAAATTAGGAGCATTGTATGCACAATCTGTTAAGTCCCTTTTGGGAGTCTTTTAGAATGTACTCCAATATGTTGGCCAGTGCTGTTCTCCACGTTTGCTGATATAGCTTGATTAATAATATCAGGTTGGAAAGACCAAGTCCTCATGAAGGTTCAATAGAACTGATTTACCGATAAAAGCCTATGCACAAGAATCAACTAACAGTCAGCACCTGATTAAAGTTAGACAAGGGTTAATGCACTGAAGAAGGGCTGGACTTAGTTAGCTTGTGGCTTTTAACTCCAACCCCTCATTCTGCCAATTCTTCTCCTATAGTTAGAACTTGTAGGAATTCTGTTGCTTGCCATGTTCCTACGGATATACTATTCCACTGGTTCCTGTAATCTTCCAACTTGCGAATGAGCAGAGCACTGTTCTAATTTTTATCTTCTAGTTCTAAAGGATCGTGTAAATAAAGAATATCTTCTAAGGCAGGGTTGTCAAACTCAATTTCATTGAGGGCTGCATCAGGGCTTATGGGGGGAGGTGCGGCTGACTGGGTGGGAGTGGCCAACCAGGTGGCCATGGTCAGCTCGATGCCATTCCACAAACTGCTGGCATGTTTCCTCTTTGCATTGGGTAGACCGGGCCGGCGCCATGCTGGCCTGATCTTTCCTCTTCGCACATATCGCGGGCCGAATGCAGCCCCCGGGGCCTTGAGTTGGACACCCCTCTTCTAAGATATCTTGGATGTTGATCTCTCTACTGAACTTCAGTATATTGGTAGTCTTGTTTAATGATCTCAGTTGGGATTAGCGACTTTTGCTAAGCGAAGTGGTCCCTAAGTGGAAAAAAATCACATAACTGCAACTACACTGACAAGACGAATCAGGTCAATATCTTCCACTTTTATTTGCCTGCTAAGCACTCCACTGTCCCTTGGAATTAAACAAGGAGGGAATAATTTTTAATTAAATTGCATTTACATTCATTGGAGA